CATACATATATACATGTACATACATGTACATACATACATACATATATACATGTACATACATGTACATACATACATACGTATATACATATACATACATGTACATACATGTACATACATACATGTACATACATGTACATACATACATGTACATACATACATACATGTACATACATACATACATACATACATACATACATACATACATACATACATACATACATAAGCTCGGTGCTAACAAGAACGTTAACAGGCTAAGCTGAGGTTCTCCTTCAAGATTTCCTTTTTTCCCCAATCAGTTGTACAGGTTATAGCTCACATTAAAAAGGTAGAAAAAGTTCTGAAATTATTTATCTTGATCTAACTGTTTACATTATACAAACCTGGAATTTAACAGGGGTGTGTAAACTTTTCATATCCACTGTAGCTTTTTGAATGACCTCAATTTGAAGGATTATGTGGACAAGATTGATGTTAACAGCTAGCTTGAGAACAAAATGGATTACTGCCATTTTAAAACTATTTTAACCTCTAAAACTTTAATAATTTTAAACCATAACGTAGCTATAAAACTATTTTGCATTACACTGGTTATATGCAAGTACAAATAGCAACAACAGCATCTAGCTGTGGTGACACTGATGAAGCTTGAGGATCTTTAGCAGATTATTAAGATATTTCTGCTGGAGTTACTGCGGAACTGAAAACTTATGACGACATAAAGCATTTTAAAATAGTGTTGACATAAACAACTATAAAATAAATTATAGACTTTAGATGATTTAAGATGGCAGCAGGTCACTTTGCTATAGAACCTACTTGGACTAGCTGTTAGCTCATCAATCTGGTCAAAATTAAACAGCTGTGAAAGCATGTTAATAAAAAACAGTCATAATCTGGGTTTAGTTCCAGTATCAGTACTTGGAACTGAATTTTATTAAACATCTCATTGTAGAATAAATTTCCTCAGCTATGTTTCTAAATATACATTTAAAACTAAATCTTCGGTCCACGATACATTTCCAAACTCTGGCGTAAAATTTAAGAAAAAAACCTTCATTTTCTTGTTTAATTTGCTGACGACGCAAGGAATTCTGGGATATTGTCTGCTGCGTAGGATACTCACATGCAGCCAAAGTTTTCAGGGTTATTTTGGCCGTATTTGTCAGCTGCATGAGTAGTCGCCTATGAACTGGGGCAGCCTACAGCACGGGGCAGTGGCTGAAAAATGCACCCTATGTCGGCTGCAGCCCATGAACTGAGACAAAGCCAGTGTCTTCAACCAAAAATATTAAATGTTTTTATTGTAATTTATTGTGTTTTTTAACTACCTAAGGGTGAGGGTGCTAAACTCATTTCATTGTTTAACACTGTTTTTAACATTATCAATGATAATAAAACTTATTCTATTCTAACCTGAAGTCAGTCAAAGAGCTGTCTGTAACCAGAGTTGTAAAGTAACTAAGTACAAATACTTTGTTACTGTACTTAAGTAGAAATTTTGGTTATCTGTACTTTACTTGAGTAAGTATTTTTCAGCATACATTTTACTTTTACTCATTACATTTTTACACAATTATCTGTACTTTCTACTCATTACATTTTTTAAAAAGGTAAGAAGGAGAAAGTCGTTACTCCTGTTTTATTCTGAGTTGTTATTACTTAAAAAGTACTATCCTGATAAAWTGTGTCTCCTGGATAGAGTGAATTTAATTGTGGTTGGATGAGAAGTATAAATATTTACCATTCTGACACCCTGTTAGCTTTTACACAACCCATCACAGCTGCACGCTGT